TATTTCGGAAACGCATCTCTAGAATATTAAGGGTAGACACGAATATGCATCTTTGAACTAACTTTTTTTTTAACAAAATAAGGTTTTTTTTAATCAATTTGCGTTGAGGAGTGTGTAAAAAAATGAGTCTGAAGATGCAACTCCGAATTCTTGTGATTTTTCACCCGTAAGAGTGGGAAAAGAAACCCCAACAAAATTGAGCCTACAAAAATTAGATCAAGCAACCCAAATTCATTCGAGCACTAGAGATTATTGAAAAATTAACCTGCCACCCCCACACTTAAACCTCACATCCTCTAATATGGATGAATAGATCGAACTAACCCTGAATTTTTTTCTCGAATTTCCAAATTTGCAGTGCAGTAGTGGATTTTTCAATTTTTAGGGGGCATACCGAAAATTTCAAAACAACTACCAAAAATTTCAAAACAAGTAAGTTTTTCCCGGAAATTTTAAAATTTCCGATACAAAGCCAAATCTCCTTTACCAGAAATTTCAAAATTTTCTGGTAGTTCAAAATACCTAGTCTTGTACCAGAAATTTCAAAATTTTTGATAGTTTTAAAAATCCAGTTTTGTACCTGAAATTTTGAAATTTTCGGTAGTTATAAAAATTTGGTTTCATACCAGAAATTTCAAAATTTTTCGGTAGCTGCCATTGTCCTTTTTTCCTAATATTTTTTTTTTGTAGTGAAATCTAGAGGTAGAGACGGTACTATTGCAGGAAGAGCTGCAGATCTAGCATCAGACTAGAGTAGGGCTGCCAGGGGTGCTGATGCTGAGTCTTTCCAGCTACGGGAAGGACAAGTGGTCCCTACCGGTTCACATTGAAAGCGGATGGCAGAGCGGGGTCATTTGCAAGCACATCATTCTACTCGACGTCGTAGAGTTCGATCATCAAAGTAGGCTACAAATAAGGTGTTGTCAAACATTCCTGTAGTTGATCTCGTCGGTGAGCCGGTGGTTGAGTCGGTCGTTGAGCCGCTAGTTGCTCAGGTGGTTGATCCAATTATTCAGGAGGTTTCTGAGGAGACTGTTGAGAAGGTACAACCAGATGTTGTTATTGGTGAGTCGGGATCATCAGTTCCTATTGAGACAGAGGTTACAACTCCTTCGACTGAATCTTCTGTGCACACTAATGAAGGATTCCTAGGAGGACCCATCGACTGGTCTATGCTTACAGAATATGCTGAGCATGTGACCTACGATTATGACAGGGTAAGTTATATGTCTTTTATGCTTAGTTTTAATTTTTGTTTATGAATGTTTGTCATAATTAAGTATCAAGTAATTTGTTTATATTTTGTTGTTAAAGGAGGGACCCACACTAAATATTACATCTCACAGGTCGAAGATGAAGAGCTTCCCGAAGATTCCAATGCCTGAGCAATTCAGTTGGATTATACGGGACTTCGAGCTGCTTGATTTCGCCCACTGCTCATTCACCATGCTGGATGTTCCATTACTTAATGCCTTTGTTGAGAGGTGGCACAAGGAGACATCATCATTTCATCTTCCGTTTGGGGAGATGATTGTCACTCTGGATGATGTCTCTGCATTGTTCCATCTCCCTGTCGATGGTAGATTCTGGATGATTCCGACTCTTAGCGTGACCACCGCTTGTCAAGTTGTGTCACATGATTTGAGTTTGTTTGAGGCGGAGGTGCTGGAGGAGTTTGTGAGACCAGGCGAGCGCACCTTCACATGCATTGGTTTCAAAAGATATACGACCGGCTTGTAGCTGATAGGAGGTATGAGGCTGCCGTTAGGGCGTACATGCTACATATAGTAGCATGTGCTCTTTTTACGGACAAGTATGGTACTTATGTTGATGCCCGATACTTGTGCCTCTTTAGTAGCCTCGAGGACACTAGCTGGACTTGGGGTGTGTTGCATTGATCCAGTTGTATACAACCCTTGGAGTGGCGACGGTCTTTGAGACCAGACAACTTGCTGGCTATTTGAGTATGTTACAGGTATACTTGAAATTATTATATGTTGTTACTTTCGTATTTATTTTTTACGAATATTATTTCTAAATTATTATGTGTTGTGTTTGTGATATGATTTCAGTGCTAGATATACGAGCATTTCACTACCATTTGTGACAAGAGGGTGTAACGTTGCAAGGTGGGGCCCCACGGACGAAGAGGTGGAAGGGGAGACAGACACATCCTGGTGGTGTTGTTGAGTATATGAGGAGGCTCGATGCTCTTACTGTAGATGATTTCATCTGGACACCACACACTTCTTGATGAGGACGTAATCCAAGACATAAATGATACAATTCAAAGCTTAGGAGGTCCTATGACAAGGGCACATGCAAGAAGAGTCAATGATGCTTTAGTTCACTTCATGATCAAGTCAATAGAATGCATGGGCCAGATTGAAGAAAAAGAGCCCAAGTTTATTCTTATCATCCAAGCATGTGATAAAAGGCCTAATAATGCATAAATAAATAAAAATAAAGGAAATACCAATAACCACACTATAATGGACGAAAATTGCAAGAGAAGTGGTAAATAAAGAATTGCCATTATTATGCCCTTTCAAGAACCCCACTATCTCTTCTTTATTTTGCACTTTCTTTTTAATAACTCAATCCACTATCATGATAATTAGTGGCTGAAATCCTTTTGTTTTCTTAGGAGTTAATGTTTACTTATTTCATCATCTTAAGCCATTCCTATATAAAGGAGGTATGTATCTTCTTTTTGAATCAATGAATTTTGTCGAGTTTACACATTGTGTAAGTGAGAGTATTTGCTCTTAGGTTCTGGATTGGACCAAAATTGATCTTATCAAGAAATCATTTTCTTGTGGTGATCCTCATCCATAGGCTTATCATTCTCTCTTGGATTAGAAAGAGTGTGGTGCCCCTTCTACTTAATTCCATTTCTTATTTCTCATTTATTTCATATCAGTCTCGTTTATTTTCTATGCATGTATCAAATTCTGTCATTCTTGTAATTATAAGGCAGATTACTTTCTTTGAGTCACAAAAGAATTAATATTCCAAAAGTTAACAAAGTTGTTTCAGGAAATGCATAATTCTCAAAAGTTAGTGCATATCACTTCTCATAGAGTCCACCGTGAGTTCCAGGAGTCATTGTTATATTCAGGTTATATATGGTGGGAGACCATGGTTACGAGACACTTGTCCGAGAGGTGTCTCTGACAGTATGGTTATGTTCAAGGTATCCCACGACCAGTTCTAGATATCCCGACTTCAAGGATTGGTTGGTGGTTTCAGAGTAACTTCATCAGCTTTGGTTGTGCCATCAGAGATCGAGCGGTCATTGTTCAGCACCCCTCGCAGTGTGAGGATGGTTAGTTAGAGTGGTACCTTACTGTATCACACCCTCACACCACCTCACCCTCAGTTGATGATGGGTCTTCTGATGATCAGGTACTTGTTGATGACGCGTTGTCACCGCCACCTCTAGTAGATCACGCCGATGACCAGCAGCGCCTCCAAATGATTGCAGTGATTATAGATAACCTCATGGGTTTGGTAAACGCAGATGGTGAGGTATATACTAGATTAGCTCGGGCTGTACAGATAGCTCGTGGGGGGGCCTATTTAGATACATTTTGTATTACTTGTATTATTTGTATATTATTCAGACATCTTTATCATAACACTTTATTAGCTAATATTAGTGATCTTCCTTAAATTGCAGTGTGAATGTTAACTAACATCCGATAATGGTTTTCATAACTTAAATAGAAAACACTTGACGTTACAATATAATTCATAAATAAGAAAAACCTAAACACTACCAGACGCTTCAGAACGTTTCGGCATCTCCATTATGTCGTCAACAGATCTTGACAGCTTCGCATCTAACTCGATCGACCCCTTTGTTATTCTACGACGAAATGATCTCCACAATTCCTTCACATCTTCGTCGATCTTCAACTTAATAAGGTTGTATTTCACCATCTCGTTTGTATTAATCCAATCTTCATGGAACTCAATTTTTTTCACCTTTCTATTGTCGCCATCAGACAAAAATTCATTCAACTTCGACATCAGGCCGACAAAAGAGATTGTGCCATCGGGAAGCTTGAACTCTATAGTAGGAGAAGTTTCGTTGAAGTACACTTCTGCCTTAATCAAAAATTGAGGAAGAGGTGTTTTTTAAGATGTGTTTATCAACAACAGGTGATCTATATTTATACAACTTTGAATTTATTCTAGACCACACAAACTGTCGGTGCAATCACAACCGCACAAAACTTCCAATATCAACACGAAAATATGAAATTTCCGAAACATTTTATACTATACCAAAATTTTTAAAATTTTCGGTATATCGAAAATTACAAATGAACTACCAGAAATTTCAAACTGTACTGGAAATTTCATACGAAAATTTGATATATTTTATACCCAGGTGCAATTTTGACATTATGAAATATTAGGAGGTGCCATGTTTAATTTAGAGGGTGGCAAATTATATTCTTGAGATTATTATAGAAAAGTCTGTTTTCATTTCAATTTTCTCTTCCCTTTCCGTATTTCAAACATATGCTAAAACTCTTTCTCATGTTCGAAAATGAGATTTCTAGTTGAATTAAAAGAAACCCAGATTCTTTAGTTGCTATTTAAACCAAATCTGGTTTAAATAGTTCTATCAATTATTGATTGATGTATGATAAAATTAACTTGAGTCATTCTATGTACTATGATCTAAGTAAAATTTCTAACGTGATTCTATGGTGTACATTTATTTCAAACAATAAATAAAGTTAAATTTTTTTAAATGTAAACACTATCTCTTATCCCTATTATAAGAAAACCTTAGGTGTATTTTTTTTTTTTGTTTTGGTCTTAATCAAAAGAAAAGTAAACATACTTTAAGACAAGTATTTATTCCTTGTTATAAATTAAAATTAAAATTATGTAATCACATTCTGTACAAACTATAGGACATTTTAGAAGACACGAATAAAAAACCACAAAGTAAACATGAGCACTACAGCAGAACTTCCTTCTCAGCATAAAAAGGATGCTAAGCGTGGATCTGTTCGGTGAGGAAGACCGGTTCGAGCTCCCAAAGCTCTACACTTGGCAGCTGCCTGCAGTTATCACATTGAAATGAGTAAAAAATCTCCCAACATTCTATTTTCTTACTTCTGTTTGAAATGATATGAATAAATTTGTCTTGAGCAACTTACTACTTGTGCAGCAAAGGGTAACATTATCTCTGGTACCATGTTTGAGCAGATGGCTATAAATAAAACAAGTCAGAGCAAAATCAATTACTCTGAAAATAAAAAATGCCAAAATAAACTTCCGAAAAAAATGTAAGCATGCAGAGAGGGCAAGCGTGTGTGTCATTCATGTAACTTCACAACTATCCTTAGAGAACATGTAGGTGTTTTGTTTCTTTTTGTGATTCTATTGTAAATGGACACAAGTAAACAAACCAAAAATGAATACCCAGGTGAAGTCTGGAGTAACAAGCTTAGAAAGAGAGAAAGAAAGAAAAAATCAGGTCAGAGACTACACCTACCATACATAATTGCTCCAATAAATGCATCCCCTGCACCAGTTGTATCAATAAGCTCAGAATCTGGTATCTTCTCTGCTGTTCCGATCAAGAATCTACCACAAATTGTGCCTATTCCATCTGATCTGAACTTTCTCACCACCTGAGAAAAATAAATGGGTGAAGAGGAGAAAATCTATTTTTAAAGAATTTATCATGATTACCTATTTGACAAAGAATTGAACTAATCTAGGTCTATCATGTATATAAAATCCAGTACTGAAACCGACGTTGTTGTCCCCCAACTTATGTTAGCAATTTTAATGTCAAATTTGAGTAGGCATACATATGAAATTTTTATAAGAAATTATAATTTCTAAATCAATACGCATATAACTTATTTAATCTAAATGAATTGAAACACAAAATCAAATCCTAACAAATGTGGTATAGATTTAGATTCTTGATTGATATTATGATCATAGAAAGATGTTTCACTCAATTGCTTTAACTTGTATATTGATATGAATTTTGGTGTCAATTGACAGTGACATATAGCTGACCCCATGATAACATTGGTTGTCATTGATCAGTTGATGTAATATTAAAATGTAAATAACAAAACTGGACAATGATACTTTTCACACACCAATGTAGTGATATTCTTTCCAATTTAACTCATGCTTATGAACCAAAAGACGTAATTTGCAAGACTCGCGCATACCGGTATTTAAGCATGTGGTTTTACCACCATGATTGCTTTTGCATGGCCTTTAATTCCACGCTAAACAAAAACCTAGCGACAGAATTTGACAAGATTCTTTTGAATTAGCCATATAACTCTCCTCTCTTCGCAAATTATTATCTCCGTCTTAAAATTTTCTTCTTTTGTTCAAACAGAAAATATACTTTTAAACTCAAACTGGAGTTATAGAATATATCTCCGCATTAAAATAAAAGTTGTACAAGTTATAGGTTCAACAATATTTTACCGATGATATACATGTTGGAATAGCCAAGCTATCATCTTTCTCTTTGTACAAGGGTTCTAAGAAGCTCTCTAGATTCCTTTCTTCTATGCTGACATCCTCTGCCCACAAGAGCATTAAACTTGTAAGTTACATTTGCTCAAAGAAAATAGTATGATTCAAAGCAATGATACTTTAGAACATTCTACTCCTTTAAGAAGTAAAATGAAAAAGCCATTTGTGCGTTCACCGTTTGTACTTCTTTCCAACATTAGACAGCCATCTTCACCCAGAGTTACAATCACAAACTTGACATTTGGCAATCTTATAAGCATGGAAACTAATGCACTCGGGATAGATGGTGCCTGAGTCCAAGCCTAACACAATACAAACCAAATCCCAAATGAACACCAAGATTAATCATAAACAGAATCATATGAACAGTTGGACACCTTATATATGCAATTAGAAATGCAGTTAGAGGTGTGCCCTACCTAAAAATCTATTCGAGCTAACCCTGACTTAATAGAAGAGTTAAAAAGTAAATTTATAATGATAATTTTCTTTCTGTTTGGGGGTTGCTGAAATTCTGGAAACACCATGAAGTGTTAAAATTGAATTAAATGTCTCCCTTTTAATGGAATCCAAGAAGATTAACATTTTTTAACAATCCTATCATGGAAAAATGCATGTAAGCCCCTCATTACCAGAGGAAACTTTGCTGAACATACAACATAATCAGCAAGCTTCAATAGCTCATCCAACCCTTCCCTTGGCGATTCTGCCTCAACTAAAATAGGAATATTATTGCGAGCAGCCTGTACAAGGTTGTCAAATTCTAAAGATTAAACCAGAACAGACAAGTATTAATGGACAAATTCACATGACAGGAAATAGGTTCACAACCCAATATAGAAAAAGAGCAATGCATATTAAAAAATCACAAAGTTTGAAATTACTAATAAATGAAATATGGAGGAGGGACTGGGTTCTCCTCATTGGAGCTGGATTCAACTCAGTAGACCTGGGTTCCAGCCCATCATATTTAGGTTCGTTCACCTCATTGGCCTTTTGGGTTCATTGCAAACTCACAACAATGGATTTGTTCATGTTTCCTGGTGTATGACTTTGTTTACTCTAGGAATTACAGTGGGTTTGGGACTCAATGGAGCATCATTCACCTCCTCTGTACATTTGTTCACATCTGGGAGAAAATAGCAATTATGTTGTACTCTCGTTCAATCGTCCTCAAAATCACAGGTCTATACGAGTTTTTGTGAGTCTTCAGTCTACATGAGTTGACACAAAAAGGATACTGTAAGCAAGTTAATTAGATTTTGATGCCTAGAAATATAAGGTTGTATGAGTTAACTTGGGAGTTTGAGAAACATGTTCATGCAAACTAAGTGTAGTAGGCATTCTTTCAATCATAATATTATAGTTCGCATACACCAAGCTGGGAAAAAAGAAAAGAAAAGAAACCTCGCCAACAAGACAAATCAAAGCCCCAACAGGTAAGCTTTATGCCTGACCTTTTTGCGTTCTTGAGTAATTTTGAAATGACAACCAGCAATTAAAAGTAATTTATAGCTTACTAGTATGTAATGTATGCCCTTAAAAAATCATCCAGCAATAGTGGAAAAGGAGCGAGCACAAGTGAGATGATGATTACCTCTTGGCCAACAAATAGAGCAGTTTCAATAGACATTCCATCAAAATAAACTAATCTTGCTCCATCAAATGCAGATAATAACATTGACTGAGACAAATCATCTGGCATTAAGGGAGGATCTCCAGGGGTGTAAATACTTGTGCGAGTTTTTCTGAGAGTATAGCTTATAATTAGTTAACTCAATTAAACTATTGAAATCCTAGGTAGTAGATTGCCTCAAATATAATTAATGTAGTAGTATTGTTAATACAGATTAACTTCTAGAGACTACAGCTGCATAACCAGGAGAGTCACTATTAGATAGTAAGGGTCATGATGAGATGAAATTTTTTATATTGATATACATTATAAACAAGGATTGAGAACTTGCACGTTTATGCATAATTTTAGACTGAGGACATGTTATATTAAATAAATGGGGCACTGGTTGAAATATAATAGAGCTCCGCTCCACCATAAGTTCATGAGAGTGCATTTTCAGATAACCTTTTCCTATCGTACCATTGTAAGCTTTGGGTCAATAGGTTGCTTGATATTGTTAATTAAAGTCACGCTAATACTAATCCGTGGTATGAAGTAAAGAGTAAAAAATAGAAACAAAATCCTTACGTTTGGCTGTCTACAAGTACATATGAAAATGTTGAACTGCCACCTTTGGATACCTGAAAAATGAAAAGAATAAACTCTCAACTCAAAAAGTTATAACTAATTAGGAAAAAAGTGCAAATGGCGAAGTAGCACCACTAGACAAATTTAAAAACACAACAATAAGGGAGCAGATAGAAAAATTTAAAAAGAAATTATTGAAATGCCCCCACTTCCCAATTTACTTTAATGTTAACCTCAATGAAGAAGGTTGTTCCACTCTGCCTACCAAACAAAAAAAAAAAGTATTTGATTTGGGCGGGTAGGTAACCATGATGACATTTCAGTTCAAGGCATTCTGCCTATCATACAAACACATCAATGAAGAAGGTTCTTCCACCGGCATTTCACATATCATACAAACAAGAAATAACTGTTACAAGTGCGTGTAGATCAGCCCTAGCTTATCAAATAAGCAAACCAAACACTGAAAGTTGAAATACACATATTGTTGACATAAGCACATATAATAATAGGAAATATAGTTTCAATCTTTATGGTCATGGACTGATTTAATTTAATCAGCACTCACTCAAACACATTGCATCCTGACAACACATTTTGCCCGTGTATAAATAAACAGAACTAGCAGTTTAGCATAATAATCATTCGAATTTCACACAACATACATGCTCAATGCTCCAGTTCCAGAGCAAAAGCAGTCATCCGTTCCAATTTCCAAAACTAATAAACAAACAGTTAAACAACACAGAAGCTGAATCTTACAACGATAAATGAAGTATCAACACCATCAGCTTCAAGTTCCTCCAATATGCTCTTTCCTTGAGCATCATCAGCAACCTAATTGAAAACACATACAAACAAACAGCTCAAATAAAACTCAACACTCCCAATCAGATTCAGCAGATCAGAAAATAAATAATCAGAAACAAAATTGAAAAACCTTGGAAATAAGCTTCGGTTTCAATCCGAGTCGAGCCGCACATGTTAAAGCATTACCGGCATTTCCACCTCCTTGCACCTTGGAGGAGGTTGTTCGGATCTTATCGTCCGGTTTCGGATATCCATCCACGGTAGCCAAAAAATCCACCGTCGTCATTCCGTATCCAATCTGCGCACAAAAGAAATCTAAATAATTACACGCGCGCGCAGAGAGAGAGTGAGAGAGGTATAGAGATAGAGGAGGAAACGAACGATGATTTGGTTTTGAGGAAGAGGAGGAACGGCGTGGGATGATGAGATATTGATACATTTTGTGGAGCGGAATGTGATTGACTGAAAGAGTAAAAAAGAAGAAATGAGAAGTGAATTAAAGGAAAAATGAGTGATAATAGATAAAACAAAGAGTATACTGCGTTGGAATGGAGGCGGGGTTGTAATTGAGAGATATGGTGGTGAGGAAAAGGGGATGAATGTGTGTGGAAAACGGTGCCATTGAATGCTTTCGAAATGCAAGTCATCGGAGATTCTACTGTTGGTAGATGCGGTTCTGTTCTAGCTTCGAGAGTGGAAGGTGATCGATCAAAGTCTCTAAAATTAGCATTCAGGCTATACGACACAAACGAAATACTCCATTTAAAAAAAAAAATTTAAAAATCTTAAAATAACCTACTTTTTAAATTATTTTCTAAAATATTTCATTTTAGGGTACCGATCGATAGAAAGAGGGTAGGTATCAGATAAATTGGCGATCCATCAGATAAATTGGCGATCCATTTATAAGATAAAAAGGTGTCACCAATTGAATTTGAAACACCACATGATATTGTCAATCCAATTGACGCCACACTGTAAAGTCTTAAATGATGTTGCCAATTTAATTGAAGACACGGTAGAAAGTGTAATTTTTTAAACACATTAATATTTAAATAAAAATAATATTATATAAATTAATGTTGGCGATCGGGTTGACCATATCGGCCACCAGTTCCACATCCCCTAGGCACCCTCACTCGTTGTCCTTGTTATCCTCGTTGTTGATTCACTCCATGTGTTTCAGGATGTGAGGTCTCAGGAACATTCTCAGTAGAATCCTTAAGAATTTATTGCATTTCTAAAAAGTCTTTTGTGTTGAAGCTGAGCTCGCGACCCATGTCAGAGTAGTTGGGATGTGATGAAGGGGTCATTGGTGTGCAGCATGGACGATTGAAATGGGACTTTAGTGTGAAGGCTTCGTTGGTGAAAGATTTAAATGGTAGCGGTGTTTGAAAGCCATAAGGTTGTGTGATGTTTGTGTGTGTAGGCTATGGTGAGATGTTTGAGCGTTTTGGCTATGGAAAGATATTTGGGCGTTATGACTATGGTATGATGTTTGGGCGTTTTGGCTATATCTTGATGTCGTGTTAGGGACATATGCATTTTGGGTGTCTTGATAATAGTCATTTTGTTGGAGATGGTATGGAGATGCTCTTGGTATTGTGGTTGAGTGTCTTGATGATAGTCATTTTGTTAGAGATGGTATGGGGACACTCTTGGTATTGTGGTTGGGTGTTTGGCATGTTTGGATGGTGGATTTGTGTGTTTGTGGGTTGGTAATGTTGTTGGGTAAGGGGTTGTGAGTAATAGGTTCGAAAATTTCTTGGTGGATTAGACGTTGAAACTTCTTATGTGTAGGTGGTTTGTCGTGGATCGCATAGATACCTCTCTTCGGAGACAAACTCAGTTGCAACCGATATGTACCAAGTCATATAAGTATTAGTTGGTATAGACGGGGTTGACATCACCGGGTCACGTAAGACATAGGCGCGATAATTCCTCCATTTACGATACTCAGATTTACAAATATCTTTTCAATTAGGATAGTTTTATTGATCACTAACTTTTTGTAGATGCCACTTACCGAGGTCAATCGGGGGGATTTGGGATGTTTTGGTGCATTCTAAACTGTAGTTTGACACGGTTATTGTGGTGCATCTCCATAGTGGTGAATCTGATGATCGGCACGCATGCAGTCCAAACGGCAGCATCTTCCTCTCTGACTTCATGTAGGTGTTTCACATTTAGATATGGGCGCCAAATAAACTATAGAAGAGAAAAATATTAGATCAAAAAATGGGTGATATAAAAAATAAATTAATTCATTTAGTGACCTTACATCTCCAGGTGTAAAGTGATCAAAGAGATTGCGGTATTAAAGAGATTGCACACTGAGAAAGTGGAAGAGATATAGAGATAGAGGAGGAAACGAATGATGATTTGGTTTTGAGGAAGAGGAGGAACGACGTGGGATGATGAGATATTGATGCATCTCGTGGAGCGGAATGTGATTGACTGAAAGAGTAAAAAAAAGAAGAAACGAGAAATGAACTAAAGGAAAAATGAGCGACAGTAGATGAAAAAGAGTATACTACGCTGGAAGGGAGGCAGGGTTGGAATTGAGAGATATGGTGGCGAGGTAAATGGGATGAATGTGTGTGAAAAATGGTGCCATTGAATGGTTTCGAGATGCATGTCATCGAAGATTTTGCAGTTGGTTGATGCGGTTCTGTTCTAGCTTCGAGAGTGGAAGGTGATCGATCTAAATCTCAATAAAATTAGCATTCAGGGTAGACAACAATTGATAATTTATAGACGATGAATATTATAGACGACAATAAAATGAGTTATTTTGACATATGGAATTAGTTATTTAAATGGTGTAATTATAATTTACTTTTAATTATTTTTAATTCCATAATTATGTGTCAAAATGATTCATTATGTCAGTGTAAAGTAGTTTTACACCGTCAATCAATGACGACCATGAATTCCGCCACATCACACTGATATTTTAAAAAAAATTAATGATATGGTAGATTGTTGATTTTTTATTGGATGACAGTGTAAAATTATTTTACACTGTCAATGTATATCAATTAAACTCAATTATAAATGAAAAAAAGATGATGGACTAAACCGTATAATTTTTTTTACACTATCAATCAATAACGACTATGCATCCTGCCAAATCATACTGGAAATTTTAAATTAATTATATGACATAATATAATGATATATTTATATTGAATGACAGTAGAAAATATTTGTACACTCTCAATGTATAACAATTAAACCCATTATAAATTATAGGGTAATGCTAACTTGGACAAGGGCACAAGTTAAGAAACGCCCTTATAATAAATTTGTATTGGAAAAAAATAATTTAAAAAATAATTTTATATTTTTATTATAATATATGTACAATTTTCAACACAACATTTTTTAATTTAATTCTTTAACTTGTGTTTTTAGAGCACAAGTTAGCGTTATCCTAAATTATATTAGTATAGTAATAGTATTGACAAGAAACTTGTTGTAATTTTGAATTCAATTATATTAATTTAAGATAATATTAATATGATTTCCTTTATTTTGGTTGATCTTTTGATCTAATATTTTACTAGCTTGTGAGTTATTAATATTATCTTCAAATTCCTATATAATTTGGATGCTGCTTAAAAATATTAAATATTGTATCACATAATAGAATGATATATATATATATATATATATATATATATATATATATATATATATATATATATATATATATATATATATATATATATATATATATATATATATATATATATATATATATATATATATATATATATATATATATATATATATATATATATATATATATATATATATATATATATATATATATATATATATATATATATATAGAGAGAGAGAGAGAGAGAGAGAGAGAGAGAGAGAGAGAGAGAGATAGATAGATAGATAGATAGATAGATAGATAGAGAGAGAGAGAGAGAGAGAGAGAGGCAAGGTCTAATTCATTTAAAATTCACTTCGTGTAACTTAAGGTATAAAGTCAGTACACACATAAAACAATGTACACTTTTTAATATCCATTTATTAGTATATTCATCTTGAATCTTGAACTAACTTTAGCATTGGATTTCTAACCATACAAGTCCATCTCGCGTCGTTGTATGCCCGTAACTAAGATCAGTACCACCAATTCAAATTCAAGACATTCATGATTTCAAATGAAATAGGGGCGTCGTCTGTGGGAATCAACTTTCGATTTCTACGATATACATGATTTCAAATGCAATATCTAATTTACCAGTTTGTAACCTCCTCAAATCACCGAATTAAGAGCATTCAAAATTGAACGCCATGATCTGTTGCATTCGATCCATTCAGTTATCAATTCAGCTATGATTCATTGGAACTTTAGATTTCTGATTCCCTTGGGAACTCCACGAAGTAAAAGAAGAAAAGATTCTAGAACCAAATCCATATCAACTTTAAAAATACTAAAAATGAATACAACTTACTTGGAGATCATGCTGAAGATTCATGATCCATCTTCCGATCTAACATCGCATATGTCTCCCTCCACTAATGTGATACCTATCATAGCGACATCAGAGATATGGTGAGTTCATAGTTAATATTGGCATAGATCTCGTACCAAGGTATCTTCTATAGTTACCAAAGGATCTCCAACTGATGTGTAAAGATCTCTTCGGGCTAGATTTCATGATGGAGTATGACCATTCTATTACATTTTTCCTTATCGCTTAAGTCAATTATTACTGGAGGAGAAATTGATTCTAGTGGTGACCTTCTGGTAAACTACCTCTTCCATACGACCTCTTAACCTTGCACAAGCAAATAGAGACATTTGAGCACAAACACGACAGATGAACAAGAATGTTGAACAAACTACAACCTTAGGCCGTTTGGTAAATCCAATTATTTCCATCGATGCTAGAGTCCGTACGAGATAGCTTACGAGCAATAGTCTCCAGGTGCCATTGTATTTTCTGGCATAGCCGAATACCAAATCCCCATGGCCAGACCGACAAAGTAATTGATATTCACTAACTACGCTTAAGGAAATGACCCCTAAACTATGGTATCAAGGAAACCAAGTCTCCTTCAAAGGCACATTTGGTCGATAGTATCTCGCCTGACATCTCCAATCCTTAAAAAACATATTACCAAAGGAAGAGAGTGAGTCAAGCTTCTTTCTTAAAGGTCGTTGTACGAACCACTAAGGAGTTTCACCTTCATCTGACCATATTCTTGACCCCAAGAGACCCGACTGTATCCCCGGAGACAAGCTAAAACGGTGTTATAGTTGAAGGTTTATTCATCTAGTCATTTTGTTGTCTCATTGTAACAAGTTTACTTCATTATGAATGAAAATACTTGTTTTACTATTTTCCCCATATTGCATTATTCTCTTTCTCTCTCTCTCTCTCTCTTTCTCTCTCTCTCTCTCTCTCTCTCTCTCTCTCTATATATATATATATATATATATATATATATATATATATATATATATATATATATATATATATATATATATATATATATATATATCCCTCTCTCTCTAGGATCTTAAGGGCGAGGAGATAAAGATTACATGCATGTCTGGGTACCCGATACATATTACATGCATTTTTGCGAATTTGATACGGCTTAAATACATTTCTATGTAGATGGCACACCCCATTTGAATTTATCGAATCTAAGGGTGTATGCGGTGAGCCTAGATATATCCACCTCGATCCGAGCCAAACCTCAGTGGAATGGATGAGGATCCTACCCTTGGTCAGTGATGTAGCCGGAAATGTAAAACTTGGTTGGTTTTAGTATAAAAGATGTTGAGTCCCACAAAGACCAAGTGGCAGGTACCATTCTCTACTACTACAATGTTTATCTAACGCAATGCTAAGAGTTTGATTTGCGTGTAGACTAAAAATTGAAGATTTGACTTAATTAATTAAACAGAGGTTGTAATGTAATTTCAATCATTCATTACTACTCATCCAAATTTCCATTTTATCATAACAACAAATTTATCAGATTGTACATAGAAAATTTAGTTAGAGGTATCGTCCGCTTTCGCGTGTCTGATACCAGATTTCAATCCCGTAATCTACTCTTTCCTCGTGATAATCAAGTTACGTCTTAAAATCCTTTTTTAAAAAATAGTTTCTCAATTAAAGATTAATTTTTTAGTAGAAAACAAAGTTAAAGATATAACGTCAAATTTCGCGTGTCCTTTATCGAATTTTAGATTCACAAACGCCCACTTTCGCGTGGTACAGTTTATAAGTCTAAAATCACTTTTTGAAAGATAGATTTTCTTAATTAACTAAAAAAATGCTTTCACTATGTTTAAAAGTTAACTTATGAATTTCTATAGTCAGATACCGAATTTTCTCTTTCGAGTCGAAATCGGTATCGCGGAATTTCTAATTTCGTAGTAAATTCCGATTTTAAAATCGGAATATTCAGACCCAAAAGTTATTCTTGTTATTAATATATTACATGCAATTTAAATGAGCATTGTCGATACGACAATCCTCACATTCCAGACTCAACATAATTACTCACTCATGTTTAAAACGATAAAGGCAAGGCATATTTTATTAATGCCAATGAACATGGTACGTGACATTAGATAAAGCCTACAAGCAGTAAAGTAAAATGAAACAGATTGAAACATAGATTAGTAAACAATACTTGAATAAAATAGAATGATCAAAGACTTTAATTTCAGTACAGATAAAAAACACAGTAGTAGCAAAATAAACAAAAACAATAAATTCAGAGCAACAAAAAATTGTAGAAAAATAATACTCCAAGCACCTAAAACTATGGTTGCAAAAACACCTCAATGCAAGATGTAAATGCTTTTACAAGTAAATTTTTGGCTATGGCAAATCTTGGATGTACAAAACTAATTTCGAAGGGCCTATTTATAGGCTGAAATTCACACTGGAAGTTATAAAAAACACGCTCAAGTAGTGGAGAAAGTGCCGGAGATTAAAAAACCGATTTCTAAAGTTTGGGGCGAAAAAACCGGGTTCAGCGTCATGACGGGCGTCAACTGGGCTGACAGTCTGCCCTTCAAGGTGCTCTGACATGTCTTCCTTATTTTGTTGACCACATGATGACATTTTGACCTTCCCTGGGGTATTACGACCATCATGACAGCAGTGCATCGGTCATGACAGCAGAAAACTTGTATTTTCTTCCCTTTTTGCCATTTTTCATCATTTAAACCCGAAAAGGCCTCCAATTGAAGGATACTTGAAATGAACAGCCAATACCAACATAACAGTACAAAAATATATATAATTGACACCAAAGCATGTGCTCATCGAACTAATAAAGTAGTTCATTTTACGTGTTATCAAACTCCTCCACACTTAAAATGTTGCTTGACCTCAAGCAACTTTGCTTGCATATAAAAACACGTAAAGTGCAGCAACATAGCACAAAAGGGCTTGAGAAAAACATAGAATCACAAATATTCATACATGGTCACAAATTCGAATCATCTAAAGTTAATTCGATAGATATTAGTCTTAACACCAAGGATATTGTTGAAGATGAGAAAAATACAAGAATTAGGGGTTGAAAGTGTTTTCTTTTTCTTTCTTTTTTGAAAATATCTTACTAGATTTTGAACTCAAGGTCT